TGAAGAAGGAGGAGTAGAGAATAAGATGATGGAGGAGGACAAGGAGGAGGAAGCGCTGTAGCAGCAGCAGCAGCAGCTCGGCTTGGAGCTTGTTTTAATTCAGGGTACTTACACTGTACCACTCCCGCCCGCGTCATTGTCCACCAACGTATAATGGCCGTGAGAAATCGTTTAGGACTGTCGATGGGACAAAAGTATGAGACGAATGGTGAAAAATATGTTAACCAAATCGTTGTTAAAATTCAAGCAGGCAGGGAATCCTTCCACACACACACACACACACACACACAGAAAGAGAGAGAGAGAGAGAGAAAGAGAGAGAGAGAAGAACACATGCCGAAATTTAGTTTTAGTTCTCAGATAATGGAAGGTAAAAAAAAATGCAATAACGTAATAAATCTTGTGTAAACATTAATCGGCCTTTTTGAAACAGGAGTTCGCTTCGCATTTGTCACTTTGCACGCACTGAACTTTGTAAAAGGACATCAAAATATAAATTTAGTTGGAGTGGGAGTTCAGGGATGGGTGGGGAGGTTCTTTAAAAATCATCCAAGTGAGAAAGTAAAGGCCAGGAAACGGAATCACTTTTAATGCTAAAGTGTTTCATACCTTGTCACCGGTAACGTGGATAATTCAATTTTTAAACGATATTACGAACCATCGGAAATATTATCACGGTAAACAGGATGTGAAAATGGCAGAATGGTTCGAGAGTTGAAACGAGAAGTCAGTGAGATTGAAGCATTCACTTTCGCACTAATAAGCTTGGGAACATTTCCCCCCTTAAAGTGTCTTTAATAAGGTAATAACCAGTTGGTGTAAAGTCAGTTGAATATGACGGGGGTGGGGGTTAGAACAAACTAACCGAGTTCCAAATATTTTCTTATATTGTCCCTACTACCTGTGGTCTTGTGTTGTCATAAAAGTGAACAATATTTTGTTGCGTAAAAAAGATATGTTGAATGTCCTCCAAATTTAGTCTTAACTGCTACATACACCCTTGTGCGAATTAACAGAAACAACCGCTTTAATTTCCTTTCTTTCACCATATGGTCAGTTTTAGACCCACTGGAATGTCAAAGTATAATTGCTTTCTATTTATTCCTCAGTTTAAGTAATATGCAGTGGTATGAATCTATTTTCGAGGTGTATGATAAAATTTTTGGCCTTGAAAAATATTACTTCATCCGTGGTTGCATCAGATTTTATCACGCTCAGACACTATTGTCTCGACTGTCGATTAGTTATCCTACGGTCATCGTCTTCGTTGGAGATTACTCCAAGGAAGCGTACGAAAATTGTAACGCTGCGCAAACACACTAGCAAGCATTACCAGTGAGCAAATTAAAGTTCTATAGACTGACCCGGAAACTCTCTTCATTTAGATCCAATCGAGAATCTGCAAGGAACGCCTTCATAGAATGCGCATGCGAAGTACTAGCATATGTGCAATGGATCATGTTTCATTGGAAAAATACGAAAAAAAAGTAAATAATAACGGAATTATTTGTTTTGTTTTAATTAATTTGCACAAGGGTGTATGATTAGCAGTTAGGATAATAACATTCTTCAAGGACACATGGCACAGGGGATAAAGGCGTTAGTTAGATCCAGTGACAGGACCCAAAGATTGTGAGTTCAATACCCGATTAAGGCAGTGGAGAACTTTCAGGAGGGAATTAACAGGAGATAACTGATAACTGACAGCCATTAAAACATGGCACGTGGAACTAGAACAGTCTACTCCAGCGAGCGAAATAAAGGGTTCAGTTCGACGTTGGAACTACCTGAAGAAACCCGGAGCGTAAAACGGCCGAAACGTTGTAATAAATATGGTAACAAAGATGAGGACAATAGTCCGAATAATGTAAATAATGTACATAATACCTCATCTCAGAAATATAGACAGATACTGAAGGGCCGAAAAGTTGTAATAAATATGGCGACAAAGATGAGGACAATAGTCCGAATAATGTACATAATATACATAACACCTCATCTCAGAAATATAGACAGATACTAAAGGAGAGCGTACTGAACTGTTATGTAATGTCCGCCCTCTTTATATATATATATATATATATATATATATATATATATATATATATATATAAGTCTACCATTCGTCCATGCTTAGAATATTGCTGCCACATACGATCCGGTGCCACTGTTATTAAACCTTAAGCTCCTTGATAAGATCCAAAAAAGAATCTGCAATATTATTGGTCCCGATCTGGCGGCTCGGTTTCAATCACTTGCCCACCGCCGTAAGGTTGACTCTCTGGGCCTTTTTTATAAATACTTTTACGATAATTATTTGGATGAGTTATTCGCTACAATATCTAGACTTTATAAATTTAAGTGCAGTACTGGTGTTGGGACAACTTCAAGACTCTCAATTCCCCTCCTAAATTCAGCTGCCCACATTTGAACATTTTATAAAGCTGGAGCGTCTCCCCCACCCATGTAACAATCATGTCATCAAGAATGTCTTTGGGGAGGGGCTAAACCTTTTTTTCTTCAGGTACTGGATAACACCATGAATTTTGTTCATTTTTAAGAAAACTTGCTGCTATTGACATCAGAAGTCTTCTTTGAATAGACAGATGTCAGTTTACCTTGGGAAATAAACAATGCACTCATTAATAAGAAGAGTTGAAATTAATGCATGCAAGTTTTCACAGTTCTAGCATCACTCCTTCATAGTCAGCCTATGAACTTTTCAGCCCACCCACGTATGTAACGCTCTACATCTGATAACACCTGATAGTCCGATTTTTATCTTTTTTGGTGGTCAGCTTTACACATATATCTTCTTTTTTGCCAATAAACAAAAGTCTTTACTTCAAGGGTTTATTTCAAAGGACGCTTAAAATGATTGCGCCAGTTTTAATCAGTACAAATATCTCTTCACTTGTTTTCACTTTCAACATTCTTCGAGCGATTTCATCGGTTTTGAGAATAAGTTTAAAATAACGTTCTAACATTTCCAGGATTTCAATAATTTAGACTACAACATCTGGAAAAATTCTTACAACTCTATTGCTTTGACGTTTTATATATAACAATAATATTACAACTGTAATAAACTGTCATAGGTAAACTTTAGTTGTATACACGAAATATGCTTTGGAGTAAAAGTCTGTAACAAGTGAAAATACATTTGATGAATTCAAATACATATTTTAGTTATCATGGCTCTCCATTATTTCCTATCCTTTGTAACTCTTAATAAATTTTATCATTTTATTATCTCTCCTAAACCCTGTTTCGTCATTCATTTAAGCTGATTAACCATGCTATATGTCATATTCTCCCAACTCTCTCTCCTTCCCTCTATCTGTTCTGTATTAGATTTTCCAATCCCTCTTTCTTCATGGCTTAGAAATTTCAACTGTCTCTTCCTGATGTTAAATACAAGTGTTCTTTTCTTTAAAACCTTGTCGTTGCTCACATGTTCAGGTCATTGTGTTAAACCGAAATGCAGATTCTGTGATAAATATCCAGAAACATTGACCATCTTGTATCAGCTTGCACAGTCTTAGCACCCACTGAATATATATCTACACTGGAAAATATACATTTTTTACGGGAAGGAAACTGCAAGAAACTGCTGTTAACATCTGCCAGAGGGGGAGCTGTAACTATTTTATGGGACTTTGCGATACACACAGACAGAACAATCGACACTAATCAGGCATCAGAACAGAATGAGTTTTCTTACTGAAAACTCAGTCCCTGTAGATTGTAATTTTCCTTTGAAGATCTTCAAAAACAATATCAGTTTACAATGATCTGGAAGTGATAATCTTTAAAATATGGCAGATGAAGGCATCATTCCAGATGTAGTTGGATCCCTCGGATTTATTGGAAAAGGGTCCGCTAGACACATTGAATGAATTTCTGGTAGATTTTTCTCTTAAAGGAATACAAAAATATTGATAATTTGTAATGTGGTAGCTGGACTTTAATTAATAATCAGAATTTGAAAAAAGGATACATTGTAACTTTGTCAAATGTGATCTTCGGTTTTTTTATTGTTTTTCTTTTACAAAAAATTATCTGTAGAAAGTGTCATGAAGCCATTTTTGACTTTATTTCTCTGGTTGGGACCCGGAAAGAAAATGTCTATTCAGAATTCAAAAGGTTTTTTATTAATTTTTCTTTTTACAAAAATTATCGGATTGTAACATAGCAAAAGAATTTGAAAAACTATCAAAATACAAAGACCTGGAAATTGAAATTTTGAAAACAAGAATAATACCAGTGGTAATTTATTTTATAAAAAAATGGAACAAAAACAACACATTGAAAGAAAGAAAATACAGAAAATTGTCTATTCAACTAAGGGAGAAATTCCATCGGAGAAAAAAAAAAAAAAAAAGAAATAATAATAATAATCTTTAACTTAATAAGAAATCGAATATGATGATGATGACAATAATAATAATAATGGTGGCGCCATAGTGTTCTATGTTATGTATGAAATGTAACCATTCATTTCTTTGAATTATTTTCTAATCTCAGGAACCATTTTTGTGGCTGCTTCCGTGTCATTTTATACTCAGCGCTAATGAACGACTTTGTCACTGCTTCAAGATTTTCACAAATTATGCAAATCTCACTTGTCTGCCCCAACGATAAATATTTAACACCTAACAATTTCTGGCTTTTTCCAAATTTTAAATCCGACAATGAAACGATATGAACGAAATTATGGAGAACCTGACCAAGCGGCTGATGGTAATCCCGAAAGAGGACTTTAGAGAATTTCAAAAGTAGAGTACACTGAAAAGATTTAGGCGCCCTTAACCCTTGATGTCTTATTTTCCCTTTGATGACAAATGACGGGATAATTTACCGGATAAATAGCGTCAACAAACACAAGTACTCATCTTCTTCTCTGTGCCATTTCCCTTCAGAAAGAGGGAGGTTATTCATTTATCTTGGGATGCATAAAATATATTTCTTTCTTTTTTATAGACTTAAATCTTTATGCAATGCCCTACATGTGGATTCTGATAACATCCGATCGGCCGATTTTTATCTGTGTTGGTGGCCAACTTCACACGTCTATCTACTTTATGGGGGCGGGGTGCTGGAAAGAAAAGCAATTACGTCAGGGTTTTATTTCAAGGGACGCTTAAAACGATTAAAGCAGTTTTAATCAGTACGTGATCTTCGGTATTTTTTTTTATTGTTTTTCTTTTACAAAAAATGATCAGTAGAAAGTGTCAAGGAAGCCATTTTTGACATTAGTTCTCTGGTTGGGACCCGGAAGGAAAATGTGTATTCAACAGAATTCCAAAGAAATAATAATAATAATAATAATAATAATAATAATAATAATAATAATAATAATAGTGGCGCCATAGTGTCCTGTGTTATGTCCGAAATGTGACCATTCATTTCTTTAAATTATTCTCTAATCTGAGGAACCACTCCTCCTCTTATTCTACATCTTCTCCTACTCTTTATTTTTTAGTGCACCTCTTCCTACCATCATTCATTTGTGACTATTAATAAGTTATTTTTTTTACCATTATTATTACTCTTTGTCCTGACATCGCAAGCTAGTTATGCAGAAGGAAATGTGTACACGACAGAAATCCACGGAAATAATAATAATAATAATAATAATAATAATAATAATAACGGCGCCATAGTGTTCTGTACGAAATGTAACCATTCATGTCTTTTAATTTTTTCTAAAGTCAGAAACCATTTTTGTGGTTTTCGTGTCCCTTTCTACTCCCGCTTAAACAAACTCTGACCCTTGGAGCTGTTCAGTCAGCAATGTAACAACATTTAGTTTGCTTGTATGACTGTTGCATTCATAATGAACGACTAAGTCACTATTTCACGTTTTTTCTAACAAATTACACTTTTTTTTTCTAACTAAGTTTCACTTTATACCCCAATGATAAAGATATAACATCTAGCCTAAAAACTTTTCCGCTTCTCTCGTATATGCGTAACATAGCTAAAATAAATGAGAGAAAAGCCTTTCTCCTACGGCCTACCCAACTCAATCATTTTTATCCAATAGTCGCGGTATCTGTTCAGCAGCATAGAATTCTTTCTCCTGGAACACTAGCTATATATCTTTGATTTTGTGAAACCAACATGAATTCTTCCGTAACGACTAATGAATTCCTGGTTTCAGAGTATTTTCCCCTTTGCCGAAAAATTCCAGCATTCATATGCATCGCCTTCGTATTTACATCCGGGATAATCTTCCAATGGCCAGAGAATTGTCTCTCGGGGTCGCTGACTATTCTTTCATGTGTTTCCGTCTTTCGTTACTAAACTGTCAGCTATCTCTTTTTCCTTTATCGCTTCCCTTCTTCCCAACACTGCAGCGTATTAGATGAAATAGTTGACAGGATAGAAAAGGTACTTTCTGTCCATCCATCTGCGAAGATCTTTGTCTTTGGTGACTTTAATGCCCACAACGAAACGTGGCTGAAACATTCCAAAGGTTATGATGTTGTCCGTATACATACATTAAATTTTTCCATTGCCCAATCTCTCCCTAGCCAAACGAAGCAACATGCTTCTCTACTGGATTGATTTTTACCTCCTCTCCTTGCTCTTGCCGATCTTCGCAATACTGTCTTCTTGGTAATTCGGACCACTCTGTGGTAGCTATTGATATCTCCAAGTATGCATTAAACAGGAACTCCGTATCCATAAAACCTCTTTCCAGTACCAGCATGACGACTGGGATTTATTACTGCATTTTCTCTGTGAAACCACTTGTACTGATATCATCTACCTCGCAATCGAAAAGTACGTCACTGAGGTTTCTTCTTGAGGCAAAACCGGCATGGACGCCTTCATCCCTTCACAGAAATACCAGGTGAAAACCGCAATCTTCTTCATCATTCATACAATCATGTTCGGTCGCCAGGAAGCCCTATTTCCGGCTATACCAGCGGGACATCTCTCGTCATCACAAGTGCCTATTTGCTGCTGCTCATAATAAATGTAAGCGTGTCCATGTTTGCTGGGAAAATAAGGCAGCACAAAGCCTCTAAAAACGTTGACTCTTCGTGACTATTGGCTTTTCTGTAATAGGATAATAAATAAGTGCTAGAGTCTTTATCCGCCCATCTCTTCAATCGGTTTGAGGTTTTACACTTCTCTTCTGATAAAGCTCAATGCTTTGCCCATAAATTCTCCTCAAACTCTACTTTTGGGTCATATCAGGAACCACTGCCATATTTCCCACTTAGAACTGATTCTCTGCTGAGTAATATACATAATAACATTTTGCATGGTTTCTGCTATCATCTTGATTCCAACAAAGCATGTGGACCCGATGTCATCCCGTAATAGTCATAGTGTTCCCCTGAACTAGTTCCTCTTCTCTCTAAACGCTACAATAAATACCTCGCTGCTGCCTGCTTTTCTGCTTGCTGGAAGTCATCATCTGTTGCAAGGGTTTTAAAAACTCTGGCAAACCGTCTGACCCATCCAAATGTTGACCTAATTGCTTTCTGCCTTTTTTTGGGAAGCTAGAGGCCCTAATCAATACTGAATTTGTTCACCATCTCTCATCACAGTGCCTTTTCTCAAACAAGCAATACGGCTTCCAGATCAACTGCAGGTGTACTGACGATAATTGCGGAAAGAGTCTATCTTACTTTCGATAAAAATGGTGTAGCCCTTACTGTAGCATTGGACATCTCGAAAGCCTTTGACAGGGTCTGGCATTCAGGTATCTCCGGTCACGCTTTTAAGCTGATCCTGTCATTCCTATCAAATCGTGAAATGAATGTTGTCCTGAACGGCCACTCGTCTACATCCTTTCTTAGGCTGTTTTAATCTATCTATCTATCTATCTATCTATCTATCTATCTATCTATCTCAGGCTGTTTATATCTATCTCAGGCTGTACATATCTATCTATCTATCTATCTATCTATCTATCTATCTATCTCAATCTGTTCATATCTATCTACATGTACCAAATAAGAGAAAGCACATCACTTGAAGACTTTCACTATCAGCAACAGATAAAATAGATATCACATATAACATGAAGAGAAAATGATGACATAATCAAGATGTTGACATTCCACATTACTTAAAATAAAAGGTTAGGAAGGAAACCCCCATCAATTATGAAAAGAGTAACAACAGTTACTGGACTTGAGAAATCTATTTTCTTGAAAAAATTCTTTTAATAGAAGTTTTTTTTTATAAATTTCAACCGAAATTATCTACTTGTTCATAGAATGCTTATTTATAAAGAAAACTGTTAATATTATTATTAAATATGAATAGAACAGATACTGCACTTTAATCCTAGCTTGATGACCAGGAAATGAAGAAAAGCGTAATTTGAGTAGCACTGGCTTCTCGGTCAGTGAATACCGAATGTCTCCTTCAACGGCTAATGTTTCTATTACCATTAGAGGCGAGGATAACAGATACTACACTTTGATCTAGTTTTGCTCTATGTGGCACAAGGTAGTTTTTAATGTGGGGTGCCCATACACATAAATATAGATACAGGCCAAAGAGAAAAGTTGCCTATCGCCTGCTATCACTGCCACACTGTTCTCGATATTACATCCACCCAAACTCTCTTAGTTCAAGGAGCAAGGTGCTGCCTTGGGACTGGGATACTCGGAACCTGGCGTCTTCTCCCATCAGATGAAAAAAAAAAGAACAGATACTACACTGTGATCCCAGCCAGATGAAAAAATGGCTTATGTCACCCTTCTGTGTCTGATATAAATATTGTATACCCACTCTCTTCTTGGGGGGGGGGGGTCTTTTGGTTGACGGAGTCGATTTCACAACAAAGCTGCATTTTTTCTCTCTCGGATGTTTTCTCCTGGTCGGATAGAGAAATGTTTTTGGTTCGGAATTAAAATTAGAACTTCAGAAAAAAAAGGGATTTCGATTACTACTTTTTTAAACACGTCGACGTGTCCATTTTTAACTAGCCAGTAGGGTCCCCACTGGGGAGCTTGTTCCCCGGGACACAAAATAACCACGTCTGATATCTTCGGCGTGTAAAAACTTAACTCCCTGAAATAACTTTCTACCTCTCTAAACTTCCCACCCTAGTTTCAATCAATAAAAAACGACTTCCTTTGTTTTGTCCACCATCTGACTTTAAGGTCAAAATGAGGAAGTCAGAGGAAAATACAATTCTTTAAAAATTAATAGTCTGCTAGACTATTATTTAACATTTTTAGTGATACTAGTTTCAAAATTTGGTCAGTGATCAAATCTTTGACATGCTACTTTATCCAAGAAATGCCTATATTTTGAGTAATTATATTCTAGGCCAAAGTTATACTTTTTACCATCAACTTTCAATTGAAGAAGACATTTAGTTTTTCAGTATGAAATATCTCAATAACATTTTGTACCGTAATATACACATCTGAAACATTGTCTTAATATAGCAAAATCACACAGCTTACAAAAATAAGGAAATTGTCCTGGGTATGACGATAAACTACATCCGGCACCTGTTAGGATCCCATCTATGACCAAATAGTTATCCTCCAAAATGGGATCAAAATACTATAAAAGTATAAAAATCGATAGTTGGTTTGTTCGGAGGTAAAATGAGAATTTCAACAAAAAGGGATTTTGAAACATCGATTTTATTAACACGTCAACGAGTGCATTTTTATCTAGGCAGTGGGGTCGCTCTATCAACCCTACTGGGGAGCAAGTTCCTCGTGACACAAAAGAACCACGTCTGATCTTTTCGACGTGTAAAAACTTAACTCACTCAAATAATTTTCTCTCTAACCTTCCCACACTAGTATCTGTCTATATTTCTGAGATGAGGCATTATGTACACTATTTACATTATTCGGACGATTGTCCTCATTTTTTTCGCCATATTTATTACAACGTTTCGGCCGTTGTACGCTCCAGCTATCTTCAAGGCAGTGCAGAACTTTCAGAGGAAAATTAACAGGAGATAACTGATAACCGACATCCATTAAAACAAATCACGTGGAACTGGAAGAGTCTGCCCCGGTGAACGTAATAAAGGGTTCAGTTCGACATTCCAGCCACCTGAATTAGGCCGGAGCGTACAGCGACCGAAACGTTGTAATAAATAAGACTTCCCACGCTAGTTTAACCAATAAAAACGACTTCCTTTGTTTTCTCTATCATCTGACTTTAAGGTCAAAATGAGCAATTCTTTAAAAAATAATACTCTCCTAGACTATTATTTAACGTCAACAACATATCATCTTCATGTTTTATGCGTTTAGTATTATGTCCGTATAAGGCGTGGTAGTCCTCTTGGTCTCGTCACACGGCACAGGTTAACTGAATTTAGTAAGCAAACACATTGTTTGACCTTTGAGGCGCTATTAACCGCCTATTGGACAGCATCTTTTTTTACTTCCATTTTCTTTACTACTTGATCGTTTATATTTCGAATCAAAAGGAAACATTTTAAATTTATAGGACCAATAATGAAGCCTGGAAGAATTTGACACTCACAGGTCGTGTAGAAGTCAAGAAGCACAGAGGGAAGCAACAACTAACCTACCTAACGTACATGTGCAAATGGATGGCAGAGGAAGAAATAGTATAGATGGTGAAAAGGCAGACTTTACTAAGAGTTACAAAGTATATGAAGTTGTGGATAGTCATGATCGCTAACACCCTAAACGGAAACGGGATATAGATGATAATGATGATGATGATGGCGATACGTATATAAAATGTTTGTTCCAAGGAGAGGTTATGGATTACGCGAATATCTTCCCCTTGTAAATCAAGCTTTCCTAATATTTCAAGTAGCCCTTCGTGTCGTACACGATCAAATGTCTTTGTCCAATCTATGTAACATAGTTATAGGTCTTCTGCATTCGTATTCCCCGCTCTGATTGCCATCTGATAATAAAATCGTTTTTATTTCATTATTGTCTTGAAAAGAGCTACACATTTCTTGTTCTATTTCATGCCAGATTCTGCTACAAGCTATATTCATTGGATTTCAAATGATTAATGTGGCTCATCAAGGTAACTGACCGATGAAATTGGCCTTACTTACATAGTATTCATAACTGGGACATTGACTTGATGGAATATTCCATACTAACCTGTAACCCCTCCGGGATAATGCATTTTTCACGCATAATCACCTCTTAACCAATCAGTATTTTTTTTATTGGCTGAGACCTCAAAACTGTAGCAAGTTTAAGCAAAAAATAACTTTTCCCGCGTACCGCTTTTGGAGCCGATTCTGATACCACAAACTCTATAAATAGAAGCGTTTCGATTCGATTCAAACAGTCAGATCTTCAACCCTGGAGAGATGCTAAACAAATCCACGCTAGCCAAAAACTTTGACCTAACTACAGTTTTCGTGCGCTAATTCTTATGTCTCGACAAACAGCACTTCGCTCTCCCAGGAACATTATTTACAACATACTAAATAAAGTGAATTGACGCATTACTAAACAGTGTTTGTAAATCTCAATCCAACATCAAGACAACAGCTAAAGGTACACAACTCTTACAAGCTTTGAACAGTAACTTTAACAAACGCACACAAACACACTAGTGACTGAACTCCCAAAAAAGACATTTTGTAATAGGATAAAACATCTCATACATATATCCTAACCACAAGCTTACACACATCGAAACTCAGCATAATCCTTCTACATATTTTATTGCAATTGGTCGCACTTGATCAGCAATATTTATCTTGATTGTGTATGTTCAATTGATATAAAATGAATGTTATTTGTTAAACCTTTAATCATATTGTCCTCATTTTTTATTCCTCCTGAATGATTTTACCTTCAATGTTCTTATTTTTATATTTGTTGTGGATGAATGTCTTGTGAACACCTATATTTCTGATAACCTAACCTTCTGATACACAAAATACATTTGCCAAAATCTGCAACAGACTTTTTACTAATGCCGTCTTTACCATTCCTTTAGTTATTCTTCCGTTTTTTCCTTATTTCTGCTTTTTAATTTCTTTTCTTTTGCTTTTCTTCTTTCACTATCTTCTCCTTTCCCATTTTCCCATATTCAAAGTTCCTTTCTTTTTTCTTTTCCTTTTCTTTCTATGTCTATTTTATTTTTCATTTCTTTTTTTTTCTTCAACAATTATTCTTTTTTTCTTGAAGCTTCTTTTTCCTTTCTTGTTGACTTTCCTTCATATTTTTTGTTTATCTTTCTTCGTGTCTTTAACGTCATTTCTTTTTTCATCCTGATTTCATTCCTTCTTTTTCTTCTTTCTTTTCTGTCTTGTTTTCTTCTTTTCTTCTTTTTTTCTCATTTCTTCTTCTTTCTTTCTTCTTTTATTTTCTTTTCCTTCTTTTTTCTTCTTTTTCTCCTTTCTTGTTTCTTTTTCCTTTTTTTTACTTCTTTTTTCTTTTTCTTTTTTCTTCTTCTTACTTTCTTTATTTTTCTTCTTTTTTTCTTCTTTTCTTTTCTTCTTCTTCCTCCTCCTCTTCTTCTTCCTCCTCCTCCCCCTTCTTCCTCTTCTGCTTCTGCTGCTTATTCCTCCTTCTTTTCTTCATCCCGTTTTTCTTTGTTTTCTTTTCTTTCTCGTGCGTCTTCATCATTTTGTAGTTCATCAATACCATCATCAACACCACCATCACCAACATAACCCTCAATACCACTATCATCAGCAATACCACTAACATCTACCACCCACCACCACCATCAAAACACTGTCACCACTATCATCATCATCATCATCATCATCACCACCAGCAATACTACTATCATCATCATCATAATCAGCAGAAGCACCACCACTACCACCATCACCACTATCACTACTTCTGGAACATTTTTCTCTCTCAATTCAAAAGAAACCTCGTATATTTTCCCCTTCATTTGCATCAAACCTTGTTCATATTGTTCCCATCCATTTTTCAAATTTTTCTTCTTCAAGGTTTTATTCTAATTCATTTCTGCCATCTTTCCCATCGTCTTCATCTATTTTTCTCAAACTGATTCCATCATTTGATTAAATATAATCAAACGCGTAACAAATAGACAAAAGAAAAGCCTACAATTTCAATGGAATTCAAATTCATAATACATTTCATTTTAATCCTCTATAATTATCGACAAAGCATTGGATTGTCGTCGGATCTCTTTTCATGCCACGTACACCACAAGAGAGAATATTCAAATGTATGCATTCGCCATTTGCAAACCATCCTCTACTGCCCTGGCCACCATGGCTGCATTTACGAATCAACGAGGCCGCCAAAACTAAAGACATTGATTTATTTCAGGTGTCTTCATGAAAGAATTTTTTTGAAAGATTGATAGACAAGATTACCGCAGACAAATCTTTTTAATTTAACTTAGCGCTAAATAATGGAAAATTTCAAACCTTATCTATCACAAAATCAATCAGCGAAATACCGACTATAAGTCGAGTTTCTAAAATCAAAGCTTAAATTTTGAAGTTAAGGCGTCATCATTATTGACATTATTTACAGTCGAACTAATGTCCTCACTTTTTCACTAAAGTTTTGTTTAAATTATTACACTCCAAGCTATTCAATAAAGCCCCTAAGACGCAAAGAGATTAATGAGTGTGAGAAAATATGAGAAAAATAAATCATCAATGAGGAAAAAGGGAAATAAAAGAACAGGTACACTATTTACATTATTCGGACTATTGTCCTCATCTTTGTCGCCATATTTATCCCAACGTTTCGGCGTTGTACGCTCCGACCTTCTTCTGATGATTGGAATGTCGATCTGAACCATTTATTTCGCGCGTAGACTGTTCTAGTTCCACGTGCCATGTTTTAATGGATGTCAGTTATCCATTAAATATGGCGACAAAGATGAGTACAATAGTCCGAATTATGTAAATAGTGTACATAATAACTCATCTCAAAAATATAGACAGATACTAAAAGGCCGAAACGTTGTAATTAATATGGCGACAAAGATCAAGACAATAGTCCGAATAATGTAAATAATGTACATAATACCCCATCTCAGAAATGTAGACAGATACTATCTAACGACATTGTGTAAATGGTTCACAGAACAGGAAAAAAATGTTACTCAGAGTTAGTTAGCATAGAACTTACGGTTACATCTCGAAATTTCAAAAATAAAATGATGAGACCTTAGCGCCAATCTAGTACTGCGTTTAGATTCATAAAATCTAGGTGGCATAGAGTAAAGCTCATAAGAATAATTACCATGAAAGTGTTTATAGAAATATCACAGGGAAGCTACCTGACGGCGGTGGGAAAGTGATTGAAGCCAAGATGCCAGGTCAGGACTAATAATGTTGCAGATTCTTTTTTGGGTTTCATCAAGAATCTTTAAATGCCTAGCACAATCGCCAGACCAGATGCGATGCCAATAACATTAGTCAGCAAAAATATTTTTGAAAGGGTGTCGAGACATCAAACATCATTTTTAGCTAATTTGAAGGCGCTGAATTTGAAAATAATCTTAATTTTTCTTGGTTAGCTAACATTTTTCATGTATATCACTTTTATTCCTTGACTACGGAAGGAAATAAAGTACATTGAGAGCATTTTGTTTTCACAGTTGGAAAGAAACTCCAACTAAAGACATCCCAATTGAATGCACCTATTCCATTGTCCATGATACTGCTGGAATATCAAAAGGGACTTAAATAACATTGAATATGACAGACAATAAAGAAAGAGAAAATTTTAACATAGTTCTTATGTCCACGAATATTTTATTTCTGCTGTTAGTTTATTGATTTGATGAAAATATTTGTTGGTCTTGGTATATTCAATTGTGTTATTTTTAAAGACTTAGGGTGTGATTGTTATTGCAAAAATAATATTTCTCAATAAGCAGACCAATATTTGTTGGTTTAAATACGAATTGAGATGTTTCTACGATTTTATTTTGAGAAATAATGCCATCGTGCAATATCTACAGAAAACAAATGAAAAAATGTTTTTTTTCCAAAAATGAGGCATTTCTGTAGAGCAAAACGGTAGCTAACCAAGTAAAAGTAATGTCATTTTCATTTTCAGCGCCTTCAAATTAGCTAAAAAAAAAAGATGTTTGCTGTCTCGACACCATTTCAAATTTTTTTTTTTTGTTCACCAATGTTATTTAGTGCAGCGTTCGTCATAAACAGACACCCATTTTGAAAAGTCGCTTAGTGCTAATGAAATTGCTATTGTGAGTTAATTAAATATATAATATATAATATATATATATATATATATATATATATATATATATATATATATATATAGACATCACTGATGATGTGTTCAAAAGTATTTTGGAGATATATTTCACCAAATAAGTGGGTTCCAACATTGGATGGAAATCAATAATCCGATAATAATTACGAAACCAACTCTGTTAGAATCATTTACTTTTGGTCAAACAGACTCGTTGCGTTTGCACTGAATATCGCAAAATCTAAACTCTTATTTTGATATAAGATTTGATTTACGCTAGAAAATACGAAATCAGATTATTTAAAACATTCCAATTTATATCCTTATCGCAAGAATCAATCAGAATTGATCGGATTTAAAACTAAAACTAAAAAATGAAATAAAGAATGATTTATTCAAAGAAATCATATATATCAATACCTATAACAAATTTGGTCGAACATTTCAATAGATTGATGGATATTTTTCGACTTATCAATCCTTTGCAGCTTATTTAAAGCCATAGAAAATATTGTATCATAATTCTATTTTGGGGATAATAATGACATATGGATACAATTTCTACTATTTAACCCAAAGCGGGGTGTGAAAAAGAGGTGGATCCATAAGTTTCTGTTGTAACTAAGTCATCAAAAACAACACTAGAAAACCGGAATTGGTTTAACAACCAGTTTATTACCTTTTGGTAGAGGGAAATGTAATGTAGAATAGAAGTTAGGGAAGGGAATGTTTAGACGTGAATGACTAATTTCAGGAAAAGCTACTACTGCTACTCCTCTTGATGTAGGAGTATTTTTTATGTCTTTCGTCCGTCGGCCGAGTCCAAACTTGTAGGGAAATATTCTCCCTCAAAACACTTTCCCAAGTGAATATACTAACCCGACTCGGGGCTCCAATTAAAAATTACGAGCCATTATCCATAACACCATCTGCACATCCAACCCTGTAGCGCCTGGTATTTCCAAGCAGTCACCCATCTAGGTTTCAACTGTTTTATGTATCCAGCTTCAAGGATTTTTAGTTTTTGTTTATTGTTTTCATGTTTAAGTATATTTGTGTTTTCAACAAGGATTTTCCGGAATTGTGTACGCGGCCAGGCATGTTGTTTTAAATGCCTAAAAATGTTAGAGTTATCATTTAAATGTAGAGTCAACCGTCGTGAAAGCGAGTTTGTGGTGTGACCAACATAAATATTATTTAATCCATTGGAGATACAATCTCCCAAAGGACATTTGAATTTGTAAACTATGTTGGTTTTTGCAAATCACTAATATATATATATATATATATATATATATATATATATATATATATATATATATATATAAGTTTGTAAATAACCTCTCTCGAGTTGTTTGTAACACACTATTTATCATCTCTCAGTTGCGTCTGTCTTTGGGCAGGGTGCTCTCAGGGGCGGCTCCGTCAAAAGACACAGTTACAACTGAGGAATTTTATATTGCGGGGTGTCGGAGGCCGCGCCCTCTCATTGCACCAGAGAGAGAGATGAGTGCACGCACTGAGGTCAGTGCAATCTACGGTTGCGGGAGCACGGAGAATTTTTGTTCCTTGCCCGGGTGTATTCACTCGGGCTACCCACATTAAACTGACCTTGTGTTACAACCTGACCCTGTGGTAGGGGTAAGTAAGTAAATACATACATATATATATATATATGACCTCATATGGGGGTGTAGATCTATTTCAACCGTCGAGTCTTATTCATCCCCGGTGTATAGAGTGTGTTCGTGTCGAAATTAGAAATTTACCTTTGGCAACAATTGAAAAATTGATACAGAATTAATTCAAATTATTTACATTATTCGGACTATTATCCTCATCTTTGTTGCCATATTTATCACAACGTTTCGGCCGTTGTACGCTCCGGCCTTCTTCAGGTGCTTGGAAAAATATGGAGACAAATTGAAAAATCTTACCAGAAACTGGCCGAATATCGAACCATCTGACATTCCTACACCGATGCAGAGACCTACAACTCCTCAGGCTTGTCAATTCAAGGAGAGCTCGTCGGGTCGCAGAGAAAGCGGGACACGCCTTTGTCCGAGAGAGAATTCAGTACAATCATTGGATGAAACATCGACTACATGCTCATATATCCCAGACGCTCGAGGATTTCTTCAACAGAATTACTAATGAAGAAGACCAAAGAGGATGAGAGCTTAGCAATGGGCTCGCCATTATCACCAGCAATGGCGAATATATACATGGAATACTTTGAGAAAATGGCATTAGAAACTATATCCCTAAAGCCAACTATATGGTTAAGGTATGTAGATAACACCTTCATACTCTGGCCACACCAGGAAGATGTTCAGATTCTACTGGACCATGTGAACTCAATAAGACCTTCGATAGAGTTCACAATGGAGAAAAAGTGTAACAACACACTCCCATTCCTGGATGTTCTAATATCTCGAACAGAGCATGGGTTTAAGACATCCGTATACTGTAAACCGACATTCCCCGGACAGTACCTCAATTTCAACTCCAACCATCCATACAGCGTAAAGAAAGGGATTGTCTGTTGCTTACAACACCGAGCAAAAGTCATAAGTGGCGACCCAGTGATGTTAGATAAAGAATTGGTCAGTATAAGTAGTACCCTACAACGTAACAACTATCCTGGGTACATGGCAGCAGCCCCCCAAAACAGGGATAGGCGGGTACAAGATGAGGAGGACAACAACACTCAGAAAACAGTCTGCCTGCCTTATATGAA